GCAAGGATGCTGGGAGAGAAGGCAGAGGAGCATGGTGAGAAACCCACTCCCTGCTGCATCCTCAGGCTCAGGGCTGCCATAGGTTTGCAGCATTCCCAAAGCCTCCTGTCTTCCCACAGCAGCCATGGCATGAGATCAATGTCCCTCCTTCCCCAGGCTGCACCTCCCTGCCTTCTCCTCCCCCAGCCCCTTTGCTCCAGCTGATCATCCAGCCAACCTGAACTAACCCTGTTCCAAGCACATCTGTCCTGCTTGGTGGCAGCTGCCCAGTGTGCAGCACAGCTGGGTTGTTGGGGCTTTTTTTTTTCCCTGTGTTTTTTTATCCCCGTGGATCTTGGCATCTGCAGAGAGGCTGGGGACACAGGGACAGCACTGCCCGTGGGGACAGAAGGCCCCAGCCCCACACAGCCAAAAGGTCCCACCCCAAAATCATTGTCCTGAGGCATAAATCCAGGTCTCCATCAGTCCATTTTTCCCCGTGCTGTCAGTTGTATCCCATAATGAAATAGTGGAACAGGATTCTTTTTCACACAGCTCTTAGTTTCTGGTGTCATTTCCCAGCACCAAAAGAATGTTCTTACCTGAGCTGGGCTTCCCTCCCTGCTCAGGTTTTGGGAGCTCTGGCTCCTGCCAGACTCTGCTTCATGATGGGTCTGTTAGGAAGGATTTGATCCACCTTTGGCTTTTCCTTGGCTATTCCCAAACCTGGACAGTTATTGGGGAAAGGTTTTCATCAGGGCAAGGGGCTGCCCAAGGGGACTAACCTGCACAAAGTGTCCCCTTGGGCAGCCCCTTGCCCTGACAAACACCTTTCTGATGGAAAAAAAAAGATGTTCTGGAGCACAAGCACCAGGCAGCTCAGCACCAAACCCCACATCCTGGAGCATCCCATCCCTGTGGCATCCCCAGATCTTCCCAGAGTTCTGCTGAGTTTCTTTGTCGTTGTTTGCTTTGGTTTGTTTGTTTTTCTTCTCCAACATGAAGGGGGGGGGGGGAAGTTCAGCAGTGAAATCTATATTATTTGCATGTGTATTTTTCTAAAAAAATAAAGAAAGAAAAATAAAAAGTCATGAAAATAAAATAAAAAATGCCCATAAAAACTTCCCTGAGTGGGACTGTGTGAAGGATGGGGTGAGAGAGAGAGATGGGAATAAATGATCTTAAAAATCACTTTCTTGCTCAGCCATGGTCCTGTGCTTTCATCAGATGCTTGCTGGTCCCTGGTGCCTTCCCCAGCTCAGCCCCCACCAGCCTCTCCCTTTTCATGACCTGCTTTTTTAACAAAACGGATGCACCTTTTAAAGCCACGTTAGCGTTTGCCCCGGAGCCAGCTGGGCACGTGAAGGAGACTGAAATTTTCATTTCCTTTCCCCCCCGTGTGCTCCGTCTCTGCCACTCGCCACTGATCTGATGGTGGAACCAGGATCCTGCTCTGGCCTCGGGACATTTGATTTCACTGTATTTAAAAATCAATTACTCAGTATTAGCTCATTAAAAAAACTCCAAACTGTACATGTTCCCTTAGATGAGAGGGCTGGGAGTCTCATCCTCCACCCAGGCTTCAGAGATCATATCTCCTCAGGTCTCTGTGTGGCCAAGCTGAGCCTGTTCCCTGCAGTGCTGGTTTCTGGATGGCCCAGGAGAAGGGTTTCACAGCCACTTTCCTCTTGGGAAATTTTTAAATGACCCTCCTTGGAGCCCTGCACAGCTTCACCATCAGAGGAGGGAAACCCATCAGCTCCACAGCCCGTGCATGGACACCTTACCTGGTGTTTTACATGGATACAGGTGGATCAGCTCTGGAAAACTAGAAGCCACCTGCCCTGGGGTAGCTTTTGTTCCCTCTGCCCTATGAATTACTTCTGGCCTGGCCTGATAAGCTTGTGTGTATAAGAAAGGAGGTGCTTGTTCCTTAGGTATTTGCTCAGCACTGGGTGCAGCCTGTGCTTGCAGGATGGTGTGGGGAGGCTGTCACAGGGGCAGCACCCACAGCAAGAGGGAGGCAGACCCATAACCCCCAGCTGGGTGGTCTGGTGTCACTGTCCTCATGGGGGGTGGGCATGGAGCCTGTTTAGCCTTTCACGTGGGAGAAATGAGGTGCATTAAAGGAGGTGAGGGGCAGCTGGGGATGACACCCCACCCTGGAGGGTCTTTGGCCCAGCTGAGACCACCCTCCTTTTAAATCCCCAAAGGTGGGCTAGACCAGCTGGGATTTGGGGAACTGCAGCAGGAGAGGAGCCCTGGCAAAGGTAAGAGCAGCACTGGGGGAGGAAGGTCACAGCCTGTCTCCCCATCCCTCCCTGTGGGGTATTAATTACACCCTCCGTGCAACAGCTTTAGGAAAGCTGATGCCACCATCCATTAAACCCAGGGGTTAGCTGTGGCCTGGTGGCTGCTCCAGCTCTGGTTCTTCAAGCCTGAGTGCAGCAAGCAGCTCCCAGT